GCTAGCCACACAGAGCATGGGCCTGGGGGAGGCTGGCTTGGGGGGCATGGAAGGTGAGGGTGGGCAGCAGCAGGGCCCACATGGGGACAGGTCCAAGGGGCAGTGGCCTCCAGAGAAGCAGGAGGGGCAGATGTGGGAATATGATGGGGGCCAGGGGTAGCTGGGCAGCTGGTGGCTGGGTTCCTGGCCTGAGCGGGGTGGAGCATGTGACCTGACCTTAGATCTCACCTCCCCCCTCCCCCAGCTGTGTGACCTCAGGTGTCCAGGAAAGGCAGGGCGGCTGGTCCATGGGGAGGTAGCACAGGTCAGGTGTGCTGGTGGCCCAGGTCACCTGTCAGATGAGGGTCTTTGTTATCATGCGGGGGGTTCCTGCACCAGGTCACCGATGCCCTGTGATAGAGTTGGCCTCGAGCGGGCTATACACTGGGGCGGGTCATGAGATGTCCCCGCACAGTAGGAGCCTGGGGCGAGGGCAGAGAAGGTTCTACCACAGGGAAAGACCAAGGAACGTCTGGGGCTGGTGGGGGAGGCCTGTGGTGGGCAGGGTCTAAGAGGGGAGGGCCAGGCCCTGTGGGTGTGCCCATGAACATGTCAACATGGGCATGGTGGGCACATGTTTTCCTGTGAGTGTGAGCATGAACATGTGTGGACACACATGTGCACGTGTGAATGTGTCCGTGGAGTTTAATGAGTGTACAGTGTGGATGCTGGATTGTGTCCCCAGGCGACTGTGAGCCTGGGGAGGCTGGGCTGGCAGGGGTGGGCTCTCACCCCCCTTGCCCTGTCCCATGCCAGCGTGCCGAGGAATGCTGTGTGGCTTTGGCGCCGTTTGTGAGCCCAGTGCGGAGGCTCCCGGCCGAGCCTCCTGCGTGTGCAAGAAGCGCACCTGCCCCAGCGTGGTGGCGCCCGTTTGTGGCTCCGACGCCTCCACCTACAGCAACGAGTGCGAGCTACAGCGGGCGCAGTGCAGCCAGCAGCGACGCATCCGCCTGCTCTTCCGAGGGCCCTGTGGTGAGTGGGCTGCGGTGGGGCTGGGCTGGGGCAACTGCCAGCCAGCATGACCCACCCTGCCTCGTCCATAGGGCCCCGCGACCCCTGCTCCAACGTGACCTGCAGCTTTGGCAGCACCTGTGTGCGCTCCGCGGATGGACAGACAGCCACATGCCTGTGCCCTGCCACCTGCCGGGGGGCCCCTGAGGGCCCCGTGTGCGGCAGTGATGGCGCTGACTATCCCGGCGAATGCCAGCTCCTGCGCCGCGCCTGTGCCCGCCAAGAGAACATCTCTAAGAAGTTCGATGGCCCTTGCGGTGAGCTGCCCCGGTGCACCGAGCGTGACCTCCTTGCACCTGCCCATGAGCCCTAACCTGTGCCCTCCCGCCCCCAGACCCCTGCCAGGGTATCCTCAGTGACCCTAGCCGCATATGCCGCGTGCACCCTCGAACACGGCGCCCCGAGATGCTCCTACGGCCAGAGAGCTGCCCTCCCCGGCAGGTGCCTGTGTGTGGGGACGATGGAGTCACCTACGACAACGAGTGTGTCATGGGCCGCACGGGGGCTGCTCGGGGCATTGACCTCCAGAAAGTGCGCTCCGGACAGTGCCAGCCTCGAGGTGGGTGGCTCCTGGGGGCGGGCTCCACCATGCCTGTGCCCACCTACCCTGCTTGCCTCTCAGGTCCCCACAAACCACCTCATGTGCCCATGGATCCCCTGTATGTCCCAAGGTCGGGGCTGGTGTGGTGCTCTGGCCTCTCTGATCTCATTGTCCCCCCTGCCCCAGACCAGTGTCCAGACTCCTGCAGGTTCAATGCCGTGTGCCTGTCCCGCCGAGGCCGTCCCCGCTGCTCCTGTGACCGCATCGTCTGTGACGGGGCCTACAGACCCGTGTGCGCCAAGGACGGGCACACATATGACAATGACTGCTGGCGGCAGCAGGCCGAGTGTCAGCAGCAGCGCGACATTCCCCCCAGGCACCAGGGCCCGTGTGGTGAGCACCGTGGGTGGGGTCCACGCCGGGAGCAGGCTGGTCCCACGTTAGCTCCTGCCGCCATCATCACACGCCATCTCCATCCTGAGTCATGCTCCTCCTGGGGTGGTGGGTGAGGGCGGGTCAGTCTGGGGGGCTTGGCAGGGCTCTCACCTGTCAGTGAGCTCTGGGCAGTGGGGTCTATAGGGGGGTGCCCGCAGCACCCGGGGCAGTGAGGCAGAGGCAGGGCCCGTGCGGCTCCTGCAGCCCTCTGGGTCCCTTAGAGGCAGCCGCGCTGGGTTTTGAGGGGCCAGCAGAGGGTGGGGCCGCTGTGCCCCGCCCACCTCCAGCGCTGTCCCTGGGTCTGTGCGTCTCTGCGTCTGTGTCCTCTCTGTCCTTCCTTCCCTCTCGGCTGCGCCTCTTGTGTCTTCCAGCCTGACCTACGGGCAGGATGACGAGCCGCGCCTGCCGCCAGGAGCCCGCAGCCCGAGGTCTGCCCCCAGCGCGGCGGGGGGGGTGGCTCGCTGCTGCCTGGCCTTGTAGTCCTCAGAGCAAGTGGACAGACACCTCCTCCCCTGTGCGGCCCCGGGTCTGGCTGGGTTGCAGGCTCTTCCTTACCGCAGAGAGGATGCCCCACGCATGCACACGCGCCCCGGGGCTGCTGGTCAGGAGCCTGGCCTGGGTGGGCAGTCAGGAAGCTCCTGTCTCGGGGGCAGCCCCACGCCGCGCTCCTGCAGGAGGCTGGGCTGTCGGTCTGACCCTGTCCGTGTCCGCCACGTGTCTGTCCTTTCCTCTGCCACGCCCTTTTCCTGGTCCACTCTTCCTGCTCCATCCCCACCCCAGGAGAGGGTCTGCTGCGTGAAGCTGGGGCTTGTGCGTCCGCCTGGGGGTGGCTTGGCCCACTGAGCTCCCGTGTCCTCCCCAGACCAGCCCCCGTCCCCGTGCCTCGGGGTGCAGTGCCTGTTTGGGGCGGTGTGTGCCGTGAAGAACGGGGGAGCTGAGTGCGTGTGCCAGCAGACGTGCCCGAGAGTCTACAGCCCCGTGTGTGGCAGCGACGGGGTCACGTATGGCAGCACTTGCGAGCTGGAGGCCACCGCCTGCGTCCTGGGGAAGGAGATCCGTGTGGCTCATCGAGGACCCTGTGGTCAGTGGTGGGCAGGTGGGTCTTGCTGGGGAGAGGGGGTCCTGGTCGCTGTGGTGACCGAGCTTCTTCCCCAGACCGCTGTGGGCAGTGCCGCTTCGGAGCCCTGTGCGAGTCGGAGACAGGGCGCTGCGTGTGCCCCTCGGAGTGTGTGGCCCTAGCCCAGCCTGTGTGCGGCTCTGACGGGAACACGTATGCCAGCGAGTGTGAGCTTCACGTCCACGCTTGCACACGCCAGATCAGCCTGCACGTGGCTTCGGCTGGACCCTGCCGTGAGTGGGGGTGGGCCGGGGGGCTGTGGTCCCCGCATCTCCAGCCTGGGCGTGCTGACCTGGCCTGGCTCCGCCCTCTGCAGAGACCTGTGGAGACACAGTGTGTGCCTTCGGGGCAGTGTGCTTGGCGGGGCAGTGCGTGTGTCCCCGGTGTGAGCGCCCCCCACCCGGCCCCGTGTGTGGCAGCGATGGTGTCACCTACCGCAGCGCCTGTGAGCTCCGCGAGGCCGCCTGCCAGCAGCAGGCCCAGATCGAGGAGGCCCGGGCGGGGCCCTGTGAGCAGGGTAGGTTGGGGTGACGCCGGTGGGGCCTGCGGGGCGCCAGCTCTGACTAGCGCCTCACGGGTGACCCAGCCCCCTTCCCACAGCCGAGTGTGGCTCAGGAGGCTCCGGCTCCGGGGAGGACAGCGAATGTGAGCAGGAGCTGTGCCTGCAGCGCGGCGGTGTCTGGGACGAGGACTCCGAAGACGGGCCCTGTGTCTGTGGCTTCAGCTGCCAGGGCGCCCTGAGGAGCCCGGTGAGGCCCCGCCCTCCCCCTCGGGCAGGCGGCGGGGAAGGGACCGCAGCCCCCACACTGACACCTCCCCTCCAGGTCTGCGGCTCCGACGGCGTCACCTACGGCACCGAGTGTGAGCTGAAGAAGGCGCGGTGTGAGTCCCAGCGCGAGCTGTACGTCGTGGCCCAGGGAGCCTGCCGAGGTGCGTGGGCCCGCAGGCGTGCCCGGTGCGCGCGTACACACGGGTTCTTCTGCGTATTTGCTGTTCCCTGTGTGTGCCTGTTCAAAGATGTGTGCGCGCAGGCGTGAGGTGTGGGGGTGTGCTGGGGCAGGCATGTGTGAACATGCTTAGGTGTGCAGTTACGTCTGTGCAGCCGCGGTGTGTGGACTAGTGTGTTGCTGTCAGTCAGCACAGGTGCGCTAAGCACCTACTGTGCACCAGGCGGGGCTTCGGTGCGGGGAGGCAGCAAGGCCCACACCTGGGCGCTTCCTGTCATGGGGAGGCTGGTGGTGATCCAGTAAACGTCGTGGGTGCACACGTGCCCGTGAATGTGCACTCCTGCGTGCATGCCTGTTCCTGTCTGCTCAGCCCTGTGGTTTGGAGGAGCACGGATGAAGGTGTGTACCCACATGTCTTCTTGTGTGTGCATGCATCAGGTTGCAAAGACACACTAATCCAAACACGTGTGGCTCTGGTTTATATGGTGTGCCCAGGGCTGTGTGTACTTGATCTTTGGGTGTCTGTGTGTTCCTGGCCCTATATGGACAGGCATGTTCCTGTATACGGTGAGTGATCCTCACCTGTGGCCTGAACTATAAGCTCTGGCCCCAATGGCAGTTGGCCTCAGGAAGGTAACGGTGACGACCGGGGAAGGCTGAGGTGGAGTGGCCAGTCCCAGGGGGATGTCCAGCACTGTATGGTGCCTGAATCCCCTGCCCCTCCTCTGCAGGTCCCACCATGGCTCCAATGCCACCTGCAGTCCCCCTGCACTGCACCCAGACGCCCTTCGGCTGCTGCCAGGATAACATCACTGCTGCCCGGGGTGTGGGCCTGGCTGGCTGTCCCAGTGAGTACCCAAGCCCAGCCCTGACCCACAGCCAGGCAGAGCCAGGCAACTGTGGTGACCCTGTCCTGCCCTGGCCTACAGGCTTGTGCCAGTGTAACCCCCATGGCTCCTACGGTGGCACCTGTGACCCGGGCACAGGCCAGTGCTCCTGCCGCCCAGGGGTGGGGGGCCTCAAGTGTGACCGCTGTGAACCCGGCTTCTGGAACTTCCGTGGCATCGTCACTGATGGCCGGAGTGGCTGCACCCGTGAGTGACAGGACCCACAGGCGGTCCTCAGCTGAAGTCTCCTGCCTGTCCATGCTGTCACTGTGCCCCTGGCTCCCCTATTGAGGCTCTGGCCTGGCTCACACCTGGCAGGGGCTGGGTTTGGGGCCAGTGGGGAAACCAGGCACAGACCTCAGGTCCCCACCCGTCCCCTCAGCCTGCAGCTGTGACCCTCGGGGTGCTGTGCGGGACGACTGTGAGCAGATGACCGGGCTGTGCTCCTGTAAGCCTGGGGTGGCTGGACCCAAGTGTGGGCAGTGCCCAGATGGCCGTGCCCTAGGCCCTGCTGGCTGTGAATCAGGTGAGGGCCAGGCCTGTTGTTGATGGGGGCTCCCTGTTTTGGGGGTGTGGCCATCATGAAGGCCAGCCTCCTGAGCAAGGGGGGGTCTCCTGTGTCTGCCCCAGATTCCTCAGCGCCCAAGACCTGTGCTGAAATGCACTGTGAGTTTGGGGCATCCTGCGTGGAGGAGGCTGGCTCCACCCGTTGCGTGTGCCCAACACCCACCTGTCCGGGGGCCAATGCTACCAAGGTGAGGGATGGGGTATGTGGAGGGTAGCAGGGGTAGGAAGAGCTCCCCACCAGCATCTTGTCCTGTGCCCCAGGTCTGTGGGTCGGATGGAGTCACCTACGGTAACGAGTGTCAGCTGAGGACCATTGCCTGCCGCCAGGGCCTGGATATCTCTATCCAGAACCTTGGCCCCTGCCAGGGTGAGGCCTGACCCTCTGCCCCAGAACTAACTGGATGGCCAGACCCTGCCCTGACTCGGCCTCCCACCCGATTCTCCTCCCCTTTGCTCACAGAGGCCGTGGCTTCTGGCGCCCGCCCCACACCTGTGTCTGTGGCTACCTCCGTGCGCTACCTGAGTGAGGCAGCCCCACCCAGTGCCCTCCCCCTGGCTCCTGGCAGTACTCCCCACAGCCGGCCCACCCCTAGACCCTCATCACACCCTCGGACCACTGCCAGCATCCCTAGGACCACCAGGAGGCCTGTGCTGACTATGCCCCCCACGGCACCCCCCTCAGCAGCCAGCCTTGCCACGTTTGCCTTCAGTGAATCTGGCAGCGCTGACGGGAGTGGCGATGAGGAGCTGAGTGGGGACCTGGAGGCCAGTGGGGCCGGCTCAGGCGGTGAGCACGGGCTCAGGGATGTGGTGGGGGCAGGGCCCCAGAAGGCTGCACCTGCAGCTGGGCTCACACTGAACCTCCCCAGGACTTGAGCCCCCCGAGGGCAGCAGCGCTGTGACCCCTGGGCCACCCATCGAGAGGGCTTCCTGCTACAACTCACCTTTGGGCTGCTGCTCAGATGGCAAGACGCCCTCGCTGGATGCCGAGGGCTCCAACTGTCCTGGTGAGTGGGTGGCAGGGGCTGGGGTGCAGCGTGAGGAGTGGCTTGGACCCGGACCTGGATGCCATCTCTCCTCCCAGGAAGCAGGCCTGCCCAGTAGGTGGGCACCCAGGGCTCATGGTATTCTGACCTTAGTATACACGTGTGCGTGGTCTTGGAGATTCAGCACATGCACACACATGAGGTCTTGGCTCCTGCACACATGTGGGTGCCCAGGATTCTGTGGCTAACCTGTCTTTCCCGTTGCAAGCTGGCCTGGGGCACTGTTCCACGGAGTCTGCCTGGTAACTGCTGCCAGCCCTGCCCCTGGCTCCCCACTAACCTCATGACCATCTGACTAATCCTCACCTGCCCTGCACCCATGTGGCTTGCTGCCGGGGTCTATGCCCATGGCCGGCCCAGAGGCCGGGCGGTGCTGGGCAGGGCCTCACTGCCCCCTCCCCCACAGCCACCAGGGCGTTCCAGGGTGTGCTGGAGCTCGAGGGGGTCGAGGGGCAGGAGCTGTTCTACACACCAGAGATGGCCGACCCCAAGTCAGAGCTGTTCGGGGAGACGGCCAGGAGCATCGAGAGTGCAGTAAGTGCAGGGCCTGTGGGGTTGGGGTGCAGCCCTGTCTTCCTCCCAGGTCCAACCCAGAGAAGCACTGGGGTGGGAGGGCCAAACAGCCCCATCTGGGCAGCCCCTGGAGCCCTCGCCCACTCCTCACCCACAGCTGGATGACCTCTTTCGGAACTCGGACGTTAAGAAGGACTTCTGGAGTGTCCGCCTGCGGGACCTGGGGCCCGGCAACACGGTCCGGGCCATTGTGGAAGTGCACTTTGACCCCAGTGAGCACCCCCCAGTCCCTCCCAGGAGGTGGGGGGTGCTGCACAGGGCTTCTCGAGCTCAGTGTTCCTCCTCCCCAGCCACAAGCTTCCGGGCACCCGACGTGAGCCAGGCCCTCCTCCGCCAGATCCAGGCATCCCGGCGCCGGGCCCTGGGGGTGAGGCGACCACTGCAGGAGCACCTGCGCTTCATGGACTTTGGTGAGCGCCTGTTGGTCCTGCGCTGCAGGTCGCCTGTCCCCTCCCCTGCCACCCCCAGCACCCGCACCGCTTGCTCTCCCTGTGCCCTGCCTGGTACCCTGACAGTTCTCCCTATCCTCAGACTGGTTTCCTGCCTTCTTCACTGGAGCTACCACAGGAGCCACCCCAGCTGCAGCCATGGCCAGGGCCACTACTGTGGCTTCTTCCACTATGACCCCTCGGGGCCTCTACCCCAACCACACAAGCAGGCCCGTCAGCAGGACCACAGGCCCCCTCACCACACGCCGGCCCCCCACCACTGCCCCCAGTCGTGTGCCTGGACGCCGGCCCCTGCCCCCAGGCACCCAGCAACTCCTGAGGCCCTGTGACTCCCAGCCCTGCCTCTATGGGGGGACCTGCCAGGACCAGGACTCAGGTGGATCTTTCACCTGCAGGTGCCCAGCTGGCAGGGGGGGCACCATCTGTGAGAAGGGTAAGGGTCATCCTTGCTGGAGAGGGGCAGAGAGGCAAGTGAGGCCAAGTTTTGGGGTGTGGTCAAGCCACCGTGGGGAGTCGGGGGCTAGGCTGAGGGGGTCAGGTTGGGGTAGGGGGCAGGTTGGACTCCCCACCCCCGAGCTGGGGACAGGGTGGGGGCAGGGAGCGGGGGAGTGTTTCAGGCTGGAGGACAGGGCTCTTGGGGCCCTGTTCCTCTGTCCCCTCCAGCTGGTCCCTGTCTCACAGCCGTGCACCCCTTGGTGCCGTTCTTCGGGGGCCGCTCCTTCCTGGCCTTCCCCACCCTCCGTGCCTACCACACGCTGCGCCTGGCACTAGAGTTCCGCACGCTGGAGCCGCAGGGGCTGCTGCTGTACAATGGCAATGCTCGGGGGAAGGACTTCCTGGCACTGGCACTGCTGGGGGGCCGTGTGCAGCTCAGGTGGGCAGCAGTGGGGCTAGGATGGGCGGGGCCGTGTGTAGCTCAGGTGAGCTGGGCAGTGGTCCTGGCTCCCTTCAGCTGTCTTAAGCACCTCCTTTTCCCTTGGGCCCCACCCCAGATTTGACACAGGTTCAGGGCCCGCGGTGCTGACCAGCACGGTGCCCGTGGAACCTGGCCGGTGGCATCGCCTGGAGCTGTCTCGGCACTGGCGCCAGGGGACGCTCTCGGTGGATGGCGAGCCCCCTGTCCTGGGCCAGAGCCCCAGTGGCACCGATGGCCTCAACCTGGACACAGACCTCTTTGTGGGTGGCGTCCCGGAGGATCACGCCTCTGTGTGAGCATCAGGAAGGGCTGGGGTGGCCCTGACCCCAAACCTGACCTCTGACCTTGGTTCTGACCCCTGACTTGTTGGCCACATCCAGAAAGCCCAATCTATGCAAATAGCAAAGGGGATGGAGGGTCAGGTGTGCACCATGGCTGTGACCTTGACCTCAACCCTAGCCCTTGACCCTGACCTTGGCTCAGCCCCATCCCCTCTGGTGGCATCCCCGAGGACCAGTGTGACCACCAAGGAGGGGCTGGGCTGATGTCCAGTCCCAACCCCTGACCCTCTGCCCACCTCCTGTTTTGTGGTCTGAGCCCCCAAAGGACGTGTGGGGAGCCACCCTGATCCCTGACCCTCATCCTGGTGGCAGGGTGCTTGAGCGGACCTCTGTCAGTGTGGGCCTCCGGGGCTGCATCCGCCTGCTGGACGTCAACAACCAGCGACTGGAGCTCAGCAACTGGCAAGGGGCAACCAGAAGCTCCGGCGTGAGCGAGTGCGGGGCCCACCCCTGCCTGCCCAGCCCCTGCCTTGGGGGGGCCCCATGCCAGGCCCTGGAGGCTGGCATGTTCCACTGCCAGTGCCCCCCTGGCCGATTTGGTGAGGGCGGAGCCAGGGCTGAGGGCTGGGGGACACCTGTGTGCCTGTGGGCAGGGGCTCAAGCTTGCTGGGACCCCATCCTGTCTCCGTCCAGGCCCAACCTGTGCCGAGGAGGAGAACCCCTGTGACCCGAACCCCTGCCATGGGGCAGCCCCCTGCCACGTGCTGCCTGGGGGTGAGGCCACATGCGAGTGCCCCCTAGGACGAGGGGGCCCTCTCTGCCAAACAGGTGGGGGCACTGGGCCTCAGGGCAGGAGGAAGGGGAGGGTCGAACACTTGGGTTTGGGTTCTGTTCAGGGATAGGGGTGGGGTTCAGGCCAGGGGCTCACAAAGTGGTGGGGGTACAGGGGACCCAGGGTCAGGGCATAGCGCCCTGTGTGACCCCTCTCGTCCTCACAGTCTCAGAACGGAACGACCCCCGGCCCTTCCTGGCTGACTTTAACGGCTTCTCCTACCTGGCGCTGAAAGGCCTGCACACATTTGAGCGGGACCTGGGGTCAGTGACACAAGGGGTGGGTGAGGGGATGCTGTCCCCCAGCCCTCTACCAGCCAGTGTGCTGACATGCCCCCACCTGACCCCAGGGAGAAGATGGCGCTGGAGGTGGTGTTCCTGGCCCGAGGCCCCAGCGGGCTGCTCCTTTACAATGGGCAGAAGACAGACGGCAGGGGGGACTTTGTGTCATTGGCGTTGCGGGACGGCCACCTGGAGTTCCGTTATGACCTGGGCAAGGGTGCAGCAATCATCAGGTGTGCGCGTGGGGGGGGGTAAGGCTGGAGACCGTGGCACCATCACTTGGGCCCCTGGCCGAGCAGACAGTGGAGCTCACAGTGCTCCCTCCTCACCAGGAGCAAGGAGCCAGTGGCCCTGGGCACCTGGACCAGGGTCTCCCTGGAGCGTAACGGCCGCAAGGGTGCCATGCGTATCGGCGACGGGCCCCGAGTGCTGGGCGAGTCCCCGGTGAGTGTCTCCGGGCCGTGGGCCTCCCTCCTCCTGGGCGGAAGGCAGCCCACCCACGCGGCTCTCACTGAACTGTTTTCTCTCCCGTCTGTCCTGTGACTCTGTCTGTCTGCTCTCTGCTCTCTGGCCTTGCTCTGCAACCCCTACCCCGCTCTTCGGATGTCAGAAATCCCGCAAGGTACCGGTCTCCCCGCTCATCCTGCTCATGGTCTTCTGCCGCCTCCATTCCTTCATTCCTAGAGTAGCCCCCTCGTGCCACTAAGCCCCACATTGGCCACGTCTGTGTGATTAACTCTGCCTCCTAGATAGTCTGGAGGGCGAGGGGTGGCCTTGGCAGGGCACAGTGTCCTGCCCTGCCCAGTGGGTGGTTCCACAGCCCCTCACCCAGCACCTCCCCCCAGGTGCCGCACACTGTCCTCAACTTGAAGGAGCCGCTCTACCTGGGGGGGGCTCCTGACTTCAGCAAGCTGGCCCGGGCTGCCGCAGTGTCCTCTGGCTTCGATGGCGCCATCCAGCGGGTAGGTGGGGGTGCTGTCATGGCAGGGAGGACAATAGGCAGGACTGTTGCTCATGCCGTCTGTCCCCCCAGGTCTCCCTGAAAGGCCACCAGCTGCTGACCCAGGAGCACATGGTGCAGGCGGTGGACGTCTCGTCCTTCACAGATCACCCTTGTACCCAAGCCTCAGGCCACCCTTGCCTCAACGGGGCCTCCTGTCTCCCCCGGGAGGCCTCCTACGAGTGCCTGTGTCCTGAGGGCTTCTCGGGCCTGCACTGCGAGAAGGGTGAGCACTGCCAGCCGGGCTGAGGTTGCAGGGTGGACCCCCAGGCACCCCCTCACCCCGACTGTCTCTCAGGGCTGATTGAGAAATCGGCAGGGGACCTGGACGCACTGGCCTTTGATGGACGGACCTACATCGAGTACCTCAATGCTGTAACGGAGAGGTAATGCGCCCCCCCCGCCCTTGGCTGTCCGTCTGTCCTGCCTTTGCCATGCAGGGCAAGATGCTGGCCCTGTCGCATCTGCCGTCGGCTCCGTGGCCAAGAAGGGCGGGCCCTGCTCCGCCTGCCTGCCCACTGCCCTCCTCCACCCTCCTTCCTCTCACCTTTTCTGTCTCTTTGTTTCCAAGCGAACTGACCAATGAGATCCCAGCGTAAGTAGCACCTGGGCCCCTCCACCTTCACTCTCGCTGGCCTGTTCTCTGCTCCTCACTGACCGAGGCAGAGACGGGACATTCCTCCCCGATGGAGGACAGGGCCAGGGCTGTTTGTCCAGCACGAGGCTCAGTTTCCCAGCTTAGAAGTGGGGAGCTACCCTTTCCCGGGATGTGTACTGAAGGGCGGTCGCCCATCCACCCCCTCAGCCACTGCCCTGGCCACGTGAACACCCACATGCATGTGTGTTCCCTCACACACGTGCGCTGGGAGCCTTTAGTCTCTGTTCCTGCCACCCCACCCCACGCCTGGCCTCTTGAACTCCGCACCCGGCTGGGCCACGCCCACCAGCTCTGTGTCTGCACATGCGCGTTGCACGTGTGTCCTTGTCGGGGCTCTGATGGGTGAAGCGGGTGGCCTGGGGGCCTCCTGTCTTCCGAGGGTGCTTGTTCCTCCTGCCTCGCACTATTGGAAAGGGGACGCGGGGAGGGCTGCTGCGGGTCCCCACCCTGCACCACAGCCCGTCTGTCCCCTGCTCACCTGCCTCCCTCTTTTCCTGCTCCTAAGCCCCGAAGCTCCAGGTTCCGGGGCCCTTCACAGGTAAGCTCGCGGCCCCCGGCCCCTGCTGTCTGCCGTTGTCTTTCCGTTGCTCTGTCTCTGCTGAGCTGTCTGTCTGTCCGTCTCTCATGTCTGCCGGTCTGGCCCTACTTCCCTCCGTCCCTCTCTCAGCCGTTGGCCCCACTGTTGGTGTCTGCCCTCCTGCCTTGCCCCCCCACCCCCTGCCGCCCCTGTCCCGTGGGAGGCCCTGACCGGCCCTCTGCCCTTCAGCGAGAAGGCCCTGCAGAGCGACCACTTTGAGCTGAGCCTGCGCACTGAGGCCACGCAGGGGCTGGTGCTGTGGAGCGGCAAGGCCACGGAGCGGGCTGACTACATCGCGCTGGCCATCGTGGATGGGCGCCTGCAGCTGACCTATGACCTGGGCTCCCAGCCCGTGGTGCTGCGCTCCACCATCCCCGTCAACACCAACCGCTGGCTGCGGGTCAGGGCGCACAGGTCAGTCGGGAGCCCAGGGCGCACCAAGAACAGCGGCGGGAGGTGCCTGGACCTGCCCCGCCAGGGTGGGCAGGGTCATGGGCAGGGGGACATGACAGGGCCAGCTGCCTGACCTGAGGTCACAGCTGCTGAGGGGAAGGGACAAGAGGACATAGCAGTTACAGCCAGGGAACCTCTGACCTGAAAAGGGGGTCCTTGTTGGCTGGGGACATGTCCCTCTGGTCTGAGTCTGGCATCGTTTCCAGCAAAGCTCAACTCACATGACACCCCCTGACCTGACCACCAGGCACTCTCCTAGGGGTCAGTGCCACCTGTCCTGGCCCCCAGGGATGACACTTGGTGGGGCTCAAGACCTGGAGGTGGCAGGGTGGGCTTCCTGGAGTCACCTGATGGCCTGACCCCAACCCCACCCCCAGGAAACAGCGGGAAGGCTCCCTTCAGGTGGGCAATGAGGCCCCCGTGACCGGCTCCTCCCCGCTGGGTGCCACACAGCTGGACACTGACGGAACCCTATGGCTGGGTGAGTATTTGGGGGGAGGCCAGGGAAGGGCATCAGAATCTGAGGGACAGATCCAACCCTGCAGCTGGCACTGAGGGTTGCACCTGCGCCAGCCCCAGTAGGCAGCAGATGGGCCAGCCAGGGCTAGGCCCCTGCAGTTGCCAGGGTGGTATGGGTCCAGGAGGCCAGAGCATGTCTGCTAGTCACCTGGTCCCCGTGGGCACTGACAGGCCCCAGGTAACTCACCTTGTCTCTCAGGTGCTGGTGGGTCCCTCTGCCTGCCAGTGTACTGGTCTGCCCACCAGTGAGTCACAGCCAGGTGACCTTCCTGTCTGTCCTGCAGGGGGCCTGGAGAAACTGCCCGTGGGTCCAGCCCTGCCCAAGGCTTACGGCACGGGCTTCGTGGGCTGCCTGCGGGACGTGGTGGTGGGGCGGCGACCACTGCATCTGCTGGAGGACGCCGTCACCAAGCCAGAGCTTCGACCCTGTCCTGCCCCGTGAACCACTGCAAGCCTGCCGCCCACCCTGCTGTAATTATTTTATATTTTTGTAAACTCGTTGCTTTTTTGATATGATTTTCTTGCCTGCGTTTTGGCTGGAGGGACTCCTGGCCCGGCCTCCCTCCTGTCCATGCAGGCAAGCTGCAGAGACAAACTCGGTGCCCAGGGACTCGCGGGGCCGGTGTGGCAGCAGGGAGGGCTTGGCTCGGACAGCAGCCTCAGGACGCACCCCTCCACCGCGTCCCAGCCCTCCGCTGTGCTTCCCTGCCTGTTGGCAGACCCCACACACACATCAAGCTCCATCTGGCCAGTCTTGTGTCGTCAGAACAGGAAGCTGCTGCCAGGGTTGGAGGGGACCTTCCTAGGCTTCCACTGAGCTGGGCCTTGTCCCACTGTGAGTGGGCCAGTCTCAGCAGGACTCACCTTGAGCCTGGCTGGCCCCTCCTGGGCGTCTTGTGCCAATACTGTGACTTAGAAATGACATTACTGTTGGGGCCACACGGTGTCCCCTGCTCCAGATGTGTTCACCGTCCAGGGTGCTGGAGAGCAGAGGCCAGGCCCAGGCCTGTTCGGGAGGCCCTAACCCTCAGCTGGCCCTGCCCACCCACCCAGCCACGTTGGACATGGTTGTGCCCCTTCCTCAGGGCCTATGAGGAACCTTGAGAGGGAGTGGGCCACTGTGTGGTGTTGACATCCATTGCCCACTTGCCTGGTCAGCCAGTGTGCCCCTCTTGAGGACAGGTGTCTAGGCCTGGCCACCAACCGCAGAGTTCTTAATGCATTGATTTTACTTGACATCTGGGGTCGTGGGGATGTCATCTTGGCCCGAGAGCAGCTGAGGACACCACACGACAAGCTCTCACTCCAGTTCTGGTGTGAGGGGTGGTTGTCCTTGTTCAAGAATGACCAGGGGCCTGCCGGATGTCTGACCAAGGCCAAGGAGTGGGTACAGGGATGGCAGAGATGGCTGCGAAGCCAGAAATGCCTTAAGCTGCAACATTGCGTCTCATCCCGACCCACCCCATCACTCCACCGCACCCTCCTACCGGTGGGGGTGGCAATCCCAACTCACACAGCTGGGGCTGGGCTGTCAGGCCCAAGGGCTGAAGGGAGCCCCCGTATGTCACATTACTAACTCCAGTCTGTGTCTGTGTCAATCACCATGAAATAAAGTCTGAACACATTAAAAGATGTTTGCGTCTGTCCCACCAGGCTTCAAGCTCCCTTACAGACTCGGGACGGAGGAGGGGGCCCTGCGCTGGGGTGGGGGCTGCTTTTGGCGAGGAGGCCCCAGGCAGGGAAAGCACACACTTGTGGGCTAGGGCCTGTGGAGGCCACACTCCAGGTAGCCTCCTTGAGGATGGCCTTGCAGGCAGCACCCCTGCCACACGCACTGCCCCTTGTGTTTATGTGGTCAGCCAACGTCTGTGTGTCCAGGCACAGGATGGGGAGGGAGCTGTCTGAGGAGAGTGGGCTTGCGATAAGGATAGGAGGGCCTGGGGGGAGTCAGGGTGGGTGAGGGGCAGGAGACCCTTTTCACTGGCCCAGGTTGGCCCACCCTCAGCAGGAAGCCCTAAGGGGTTCGGCCTGTGGAGCAGCTGTGAGCCTCAAACCAGGAGCTGGAAGGAAAGGAAGGTTGTATGGCCGCCTTCCTGGAACTCCTGACTTGTTAAAGATAACTGTGTTCTTTTAAAATTTTATTTTGTGTCACTAGAAAGAAGCAAAATGAAAATAAAAACACCCATAAGCTCAGCACCCAGGTGGCCCATTCCCCGGTGGGCGTTCACACTCCCCTTATTCAGTAACCTGCTTGTTCAGGGGACACACCTGGTGTGGAGCGGCGTGGCTGGGGGGTGGGGGCAGGCAGCTGTCAGGCGCAGGACTAGCTCTGGCCTAAAGGGTGAGCAGATCTGAAGGGTGAGCAAAGGTGTCAAGGCCAAGGCAGGAAGGCAGAAGGAGCAGCTGTGGGCCAGGGTGCAGGATGGACAGGCCATCGGTCAGGGTGGTGGGAGCAGGCGGATCCCGTGCTTGGGAGTCTGTTTGAAGAGCTGCAGGAAGGGCCTGGAGAGGCTGAAGCAGGAGCTGGTCAGACAGACTTCATGAGAAGGTACTTGTGTGGGGCAGAGTGCTGGGCCCAGGTGCAGATGGAGAGGAGAAGGGGTTTGGAGTAGAATGGATGGGCCTGTGCTGGGCTGGACGACCCGGTGCGTCTGGAGGGGCTGGGCTGGAAGCACTGAGAGCCAGCCCAGTGGACTCCAGCAGGGAGGGGGGAGGGGGCTCCCCGCTGGCTGAGTAAGAGGAGAGGGGCACCCACACTGGGAGGTCTGGAGAGGGTGCTCTGGGAGCCGGTGCTTCCAGGAGGAGGGGCTCTCAGGGCAGGACTTTCAGGTCAGCAGCGGTGAGTAGGCGTTGGGACCAGGGGTGGTGGAGGGGTCTGGGCAGTAGAGGCCCAGGGATTCCTAATTCCTAACTCCTCATGGGGATCTCAAGGCTGAGAGCCTAGGTAAGGAAAGGTGGTGCCCCCCAGAGGCAGATTGGCGTGGGGGGCAGCAGAAGTGGCCGCAAGAGCACCTCGGGGAGTGGGAGCACTTGGGCAGGGGCAGCCGCCTTGAGGTCAGAGGGGCGCTGGAGAGGTGAGACCAGCAGGTGGCAGGCAGGGGGGAGGGCTGAGAGCCAAGGCCTGGGTGTCCCTGTCACGTGGGAACCCCCCCACCCACACCCTCTGTCTCGGAAGTGGTGCCATGAGGGACATGTAGGCTCCTGAAAGGCAGTGCCTGGGAGAACAGGACCGGGCCAATATGATAACGTGGAGGTGTCGGGGGTCTGGTGGCCGCTTAAGCCTGGGGCCCCATGCCTTGGGCTCCAAGCCCGGACAGACGCACGTGTCAGCACTTTGGTCTGAAGCTTGGCACTCTCGAAAACTTGCTTTTATCCTAACTTCTGTGACTCGGCCAGACCTGGGGTCCCAGTGCCTTTAAGGAAAGGGGGGTCTCAGGGGCTTTTGTGGGGGTGGGGCAGACATAACTTGGTGCAGGTGAGCATCAGCCGCCCGGTGGCCTGACGCAGAGGCTCCGAGAGATGCGCTTGGGGCATGCAGGTGAGGTGTGACCTGGGAAGTCGTGCACCAGGCCTGACCCGGTGGTCCCCAGGCCTGACACCCTCACACCTGCCCCCCTCAATAGCCAGGGCCAGATACCTGAGTCCTGCTGGATGAGGCCAGTCTTAGGAAGGCCGGTGGGAAGGACTTTTTCTGATGGGGGCTGGGCCTGGGTGGAGGTCAGAGGTGCTCTGACCACAGGGAACAGAATGAGCCCTGTAGGTTGACGGTGTCTGGAGCCCGGAGTGGGCAGCAGGTGTCAAGGCAGACCCTCCCTCTCCCCCAACCCAGACCCTTTGCCCTGCTCCAGGCTCCCTTTGGCCACCAGAGATGTGTTCCACATGGCGAGCACCCCTCCCTTCCCTAAGCCTGAAACCAAGGGCAAAAGCATGGCGGGGGGCATCTAGGAGGGTCTAGTCTCCCCTCTAGACTTGGGCCCTTGACCCTGCCTACCTGAGACAATCAGCCCTCTCTCAACAGGCCCATCTCCCCTCCGGACCCCCTTAAGAACCAGGTTTAGGGGTAGGACCCCCGGCAGGGGAGTGTATGAGAACCAAATAGGCCTTAGGTCTCTAGCTTCCTGCCTCTCTAGAGTGTGACAGGAACTGGGCACCTCCTGCCCTTTCTGCCGGACCCCTGCTCTCGAGTATGTGCACACACGCATGTGAGCTCAGATTCTAGCATGCATGTGACTGTCATGGGGAGCCACACAGGTGTAAGACATGTGTCACTGCTTCCTGGAACTTGGCACACCCAGAACCCCATATCTTGGGCTTGGTGAGGGTGGAGGTCACAGGAAGGGTCACCCTATGACCCTGAGTCACTCCCTAGATCAATGAGGGGCTGGACAAGGTCTGATCTGTGGGCTCACAGGGCTTCTCTTTGCCTGAGCAAGGTCCTTAGCTCATAGCAGGCCCTTGCTTCTCCCCACCTTCCACCAGCAGCATCTCAGGGTGAGGGTCCCAGGATCCCTACAAGGGGCGTTGTGAGTAGGCTGCCTGGCACAGTGGCCTCTGGCAGGGTCATGGATCCTCTTAGGCTCAAGAATAGTGAAATGAGTTGGGTCTCTAAGGACTTGTCAGCCGAAAAGCCCCATGATTCCAAGGTTTATGATCCAGCAGGAACTCAGGGGGAGACGTTTTTCTCTGGGGCCCAGGAGAAACTGCCTCAGGGGCCATGTCCCCAGTAGTCTGCAGCCCCAGGCAGGTGCTGGGGCAGGGCAGAGAATGAGGCTGAACCTCTCATGGAGGGCTGGGAGGCACTGGGGTGGTGCGCATCACCTACGGTGCACAGTGTGGGACAGGGACCTGGCCTTGGCCTTGACTGTTCCAAGGACTGTTCTGGAAGCTAAGGGTGGTAACAGTGGGAGTGGTCCCCCAACAGTGGCTGCCCTTCTAGGCGCCACAACAAGGTGCCCCANGCTCCTGTCTCGGGGGCAGCCCCACGCCGCGCTCCTGCAGGAGGCTGGGCCGTCTGTCTGACCCTGTCCGTGTCCGCCACGTGTCTGTCCTTTCCTCTGCCACGCCCTTTTCCTGGTCCACTCTTCCTGCTCCATCCCCACCCCAGGAGAGGGTCTGCTGCGTGAAGCTGGGGCTTGTGCGTCCGCCTGGGGGTGGCTTGGCCCACTGAGCTCCCGTGTCCTCCCCAGACCAGCCCCCGTCCCCGTGCCTCGGGGTGCAGTGCCTGTTTGGGGCGGTGTGTGCCGTGAAGAACGGGGGAGCTGAGTGCGTGTGCCAGCAGACGTGCCCGAGAGTCTACAGCCCCGTGTGTGGCAGCGACGGGGTCACGTATGGCAGCACTTGCGAGCTGGAGGCCACCGCCTGCGTCCTGGGGAAGGAGATCCGTGTGGCTCATCGAGGACCCTGTGGTCAGTGGTGGGCAGGTGGGTCTTGCTGGGGAGAGGGGGTCCTGGTCGCTGTGGTGACCGAGCTTCTTCCCCAGACCGCTGTGGGCAGTGCCGCTTCGGAGCCCTGTGCGAGTCGGAGACAGGGCGCTGCGTGTGCCCCTCGGAGTGTGTGGCCCTAGCCCAGCCTGTGTGCGGCTCTGACGGGAACACGTATGCCAGCGAGTGTGAGCTTCACGTCCACGCTTGCACACGCCAGATCAGCCTGCACGTGGCTTCGGCTGGACCCTGCCGTGAGTGGGGGTGGGCCGGGGGGCTGTGGTCCCCGCATCTCCAGCCTGGGCGTGCTGACCTGGCCTGGCTCCGCCCTCTGCAGAGACCTGTGGAGACACAGTGTGTGCCTTCGGGGCAGTGTGCTTGGCGGGGCAGTGCGTGTGTCCCCGGTGTGAGCGCCCCCCACCCGGCCCCGTGTGTGGCAGCGACGGTGTCACCTACCGCAGCGCCTGTGAGCTCCGCGAGGCCGCCTGCCAGCAGCAGGCCCAGATCGAGGAGGCCCGGGCGGGGCCCTGTGAGCAGGGTAGGTTGGGGTGACGCCGGTGGGGCCTGCGGGGCGCCAGCTCTGACTAGCGCCTCACGGGTGACCCAGCCCCCTTCCCACAGCCGAGTGTGGCTCAGGAGGCTCCGGCTCCGGGGAGGACAGCGAATGTGAGCAGGAGCTGTGCCTGCAGCGCGGCGGTGTCTGGGACGAGGACTCCGAAGACGGGCCCTGTGTCTGTGGCTTCAGCTGCCAGGGCGCCCTGAGGAGCCCGGTGAGGCCCCGCCCTCCCCCTCGGGCAGGCGGCGGGGAAGGGACCGCAGCCCCCACACTGACACCTCCCCTCCAGGTCTGCGGCTCCGACGGCGTCACCTACGGCACCGAGTGTGAGCTGAAGAAGGCGCGGTGTGAGTCCCAGCGCGAGCTGTACGTCGTGGCCCAGGGAGCCTGCCGAGGTGCGTGGGCCCGCAGGCGTGCCCGGTGCGCGCGTACACACGGGTTCTTCTGCGTATTTGCTGTTCCCTGTGTGTGCCTGTTCAAAGATGTGTGCGCGCAGGCGTGAGGTGTGGGGGTGTGCTGGGGCAGGCATGTGTGAACACGCTTAGGTGTGCAGTTACGTCTGTGCAGCCGCGGTGTGTGGACTAGTGTGTTGCTGTCAGTCAGCACAGGTGCGCTAAGCACCTACTGTGCACCAGGCGGGGCTTCGGTGCGGGGAG